GCGACCAGCGTTTGTGCCTACCTCAGGGGTCCCTTTGCGCGCGAGCGTCAGCACGACGATCTCGTCGTGCGAGGTAGTTGGACTTGAGACCGAGGCGGACCGGGTGCTGTGGTGCCGGTCGAGGCAACCACCATCGACAACAGAAATGATGCCGGATCCTACGTTGGTTGAAGCGGCAATCCAAGATCCGCCCCCCCGCACGACGCTCTGTCTCTGAGCCGGGCCATGTTGCGGAGACGGCCATCAACATGGTCGATGACCCTCCCTACTGACGTCCTACCGGCATCCGATGACGATGATGGCAACACGCAAAACGCGCTTGGCACCCCTCTGCGCCTAGCGCAGTTGAGGTCGATCGTAGAAGTGATCGAGTCGCAGGTGTGCCTCCCTCTACGGACCCCCATCATCTGTGCCGGCCCCAAGCTCAGGAAAGTACAAGACGTCAAAATCGGTGTTCACGCCGAGGCGTAGCGAACGCCTCGCTAGGAAACCTCGTGCGGCAAGCGCCACGATCCAGGCATAGAACATCCTTTTGCAGAAGCTTGGTGCCGCCGTAAACACCAACGCCAACACTATGGACGCCGAGACCTTTGAAAAGTTTCGGGCAACCTTTGGGGCCCCTCTGTCGCCCTCCAAGGAGGAGGGACTGCAGGCCCTGTTTGACGGTGATTTCGACCCGGTGGCCTGGAACCTTAACTTAACCGGGCTTGACGACGAGGCTATATAATCCTTGTGCTCAACTTGTTCGTCGCAAAATTGGTTCCCAATGGCGTCAACTACGTGTTCCGACTGGAATGTGCGAGGTACCAATGCTCGCATGCGTCGTGTTGTCGTTTGGGAGTTCGTTGCCCAAGAGCGGGTGACTCTTGTATGCCGCTACTGCGCCGTTGCGGTTGGCCAACTCAATCGAGGACGTCTGGTACACGGCGGGTTTCAGGCGGAGGCGGTGGCTCCTGTCGGTGCACTGATTGCCTATGAAGGTCGCTCGTTGCCTTTATGTCGCAAAATACTTCTGTGTAAATCACAACCATGTGTGCTTTTCGGTCGTTGGTCTTAGTAATCTTGGGATTATTGTGATCAGCCTAGGATGTAACAAACTCTACTTCTATTTAATGAAAAACGTGCCAAGGCACGATCGAGAAAAGGCAGGAAGAGATGTAAAGCAGTACAGGGCATCTAATCAACTATACAACAAATGCAGCTTTTGTATGCACCAGGGGAAAAATGAGTGTTGATAGTTACATTCTTGACAATTTAAATCTTGCTCGCTGAAACAAACAAAAAAAACTCAACTCTGCAAATAATTAGCCTGAAGCCTCTGACAAAAATTTCTTGTAAACCTATCAGACTTACTCGATCAAAATTTGACGACGAAGAAAAATGGCCAATAAAAGAATGGTACTAAAAGTAAATACAGACCGTTGGGTAAAGAAATCACACAAGCATCAAAGTTTGAACACGAGACAAAGTTGTATTCATTTTATGATCGTACTGTTCATGTCAGATAGGGTATTTATAGGGGTCTCAGTCTTGGTACTTTACATAAAATTACTATTTTACCCCTAACTCATACAACTACAACCCTTCTCAACTACAAGGGTGAAGTGGTCTTTTTCTTCTTCTAAACCTTCATTCTTCAACTTTCAGTCATCGATCTTCTTGAACATCTTGTTCGCTTATGCTGAAATTTGGTTTATGCTGATGCTTATGCTGAAATGTTGTGAGAGAAAAACACCGTTTTATGGCTGAAAAGTAGTGCTGAATAAGCTCAATGTTCGCCTTTCTGGACTTAGTCGGTTCTCGCATGATCTTCTGTCTTTTAAGCGAAGTCAAAACTTTGTCTTCGTCTAATCTTGTTTCTTTCTCTTTTCAAGCGAAGTCAATTGTTAAGTGAAGTCAAATTCTTGTCTTCGCTCAGCCTTGCTTCCTTCTCTTTTTCAGCGAAGACGAAGTCTTTTTGGCGAAGCTAAATTTTTATCTTCGCTTTGTTTCTTTTATCTGCAAGTAAACTTTGTTACGAAAATCATAATTTCAACTTCGAAATTTTAGGGTCTGAGTTTTCTTGACGAAGTTAAATCCCCAACATTCCAAAGAAATGCTTCTAGGTACCCAGGGTCTTGGCATCTCATTTTGAGGGGGTGGATTGGACGAGAAACAAATAACCACAACAGTTAGATTGTGAGAACTATCCTTTTCAGCGCTTCCTGGACTAGCTCGCTTGAACGCACACCTTTCTGCGTCATTATGTTGCATCAGCTCTTTCCTCACCATCGTCATAGCGCACTGGCTGGTCATCACATCCCAAAGGCCACCACAGCCTATTATTAAGGCCAGCCCCAACGCTACACCGTGTCTTATAGCCTCAATCAACATGTATTCACCTGTTCTCCACGTCACGTCGGATGATAGTCTCGCAGTCGCCAGAGTAGCCTGCAGAGGAGCCGATCGCCTCATCTGACAAAAAGGTCAACCACCAAGCGGAGTGAGCATTTTAAGGTCATGTTTAGTTCACCACAAATTTCCAACTTTATACTATACAAAAAGTCACATCAAACTTATGGTACATGCATGGAGTATTAAATGTTGATGAAATCAAAAACTAATTGCACAGTTTGGTTGTACTTTGTGAGACGAATGTTTTGAGCATAATTAGTCAACGATTAGACAATTATTAATAAATAAAAACAAAATACCACTGTATCTACAATGTTGCTACAGTGTTATCGGCGGCGCCGATTTGTGCCACCTAAACACGGCCTAAAGTGAACGATGCCTCTGACACGCACAGAAACCAGCAGTGTGAGGAGAGAAAAGTGGCAAGGTAAAGAGAGAGCTGCAAACTACATGCATGTGGAGCCCAAAATAAAATAACTTCTTCTATTACTTGCACTATGGGATTGTTTGCCTCACCTTCTCCTCGTCTACGTGGACAGCGGCTTTAAGTTGAGGCTAACAGAAGTATTGGCCCGCGTTGGTCCTGTCCTAAAGGCACCAGCAACGTTGTTAGCCTCAATCAAACGGCATGGTACACGTAGATAAGGGTGAGTTTGAGACACTGGTCCAGTAACTTTTAGAGTCTTTTTTCATCGCAGCTTTCTTTACTCTCAACTAGATGTGGTCCTAAGCAACTTTTGGTGTCTCTCTTCTCCAGTAGCGGAACCACGGGGGCAGGCACGGCCGTGGCCCCAAGCACAGTACATTTCATATAATACCTATATAAATATTTGAATTTATAGTAAAAAAATATCATTTTTTACTCACTTTGTATTAAAATGTTATGATTTTGCTTATAAACTGTGTAAAATTTTTTAAAAGTTGTTGAAACATATAATTATGTATTTTTTATCATACTAAAACATACTATCATATTTGTCCGGTCTCCCTTAATTAAAATCGCTGGTTCCGCATATGCTCTTCTCCACAACGTGAACTTTAACTGCTGCTTGGGCCTGGTTTAGTTGGCAAAATTTTTTGGGGAATGGTATTGTAGCACTTTCGTTGTTATTTGGTAATTAGTGTCCAATCATAGTCTAATTAGGCTTTAAAGATTCGTCTCGTGAATTTCGTCTAAACTGTGTGATTAGTTTTATTTTTTATTTATATTTAATGCTTCATGCATGTGTCCAAAGATTTGATGTGACGAGAAATCTTAAAAAATTTTGCAAAATTTTTGGAACTAAACATGCACTTGGGGAAGCCCTAAGAACTCGTCTTCTTTAGAAAGTACAGTCTCCTGTAGCTCAGGTTTCGCAGTCAGAGGGCTAATTGAGCCTTTTGGGGCCTTTCATGTGCTGGTCTCCAAGTGCCCTTGCTACCGCTTGCTGACCGGTAAGATAGCCATCAAAAACAGTACCGCTTAGTTTTTCAATTTTAATCATGTCACTCTTGCAATCTGGTTTATGGTCTCTTGATTGTTCCACTGCATCAACAGTTAGATTCGCAACTCACTCTTGCAATCTGGTTTATGGTCTCTTGATAGTTCCACTGCATCAACAGTAAGATTCGCAACGAACAGGGTCCTGCATCACAGAACCATGGATTAATAAGTTAGCTGAAGAACCATATGAACGGAACTAGAAAAGCTAAAGATGTACTCCGTATTTACAAACACCATTGCCGGGCCGACTTACTGGGGAACTGTCGCCGCCGCACGGTGGTTGGGGAAGGACGCCGGGCGTTTTGCTGTCGAACGGGGCGAGAGAAAAAGGAGCCAAGGGGACAAACGGGTCGTCGTCGTGGATGCAGACGTGTAACGGTGGGGGAGCCAGACCGGACGCGGCACCGGGGAGACGGCTCGCTCGGCTAGTCGCCTTTCTGGGCCGGCCGCGCGCGGGCGCGGGGCGTGCGGTGCGGAACTGCGGACGGGAGCCGCGACCAAGGCACGGGGACCGAGCCGAGGCGCCACACTGTCTTTCGGCCGCGGTGCGCGGACTGTGGCCGGTGGAGTCGTGCCGCGGTTACATACCAGGACACCGGGCTTTTCTGCCGGTTTTTGCGAGGTTTTACCGCGCCGACGCAACCTCCCGTTGCATTGCAACCGGTTCGAATGGTTTCTTGGCTGGGTTATCGGCATGCGTTTGTTCGTGGCTAGCTTTTTCGTCGAGTTGACTTGTGATTGCGGTTTCAGTTACAACAATCAGGGTACCTTGGAACTCCATCTCTTTTTTCAGGGAGTGCTGGTTGCAACTGCAAACAAAGCGATTATACCCAAACCAGATAATGCTGGTGACACGAAATCTTCACAAGTATATGATGGATCAAGTCGGCATGATTGATGAAATAAACACACACCCCAGAGAATTACAGGAGTCCCAACAGGAAATGAAAAGCGGAAGCCTGTACGAGTTCAGTGATTACATACAACTGACAGAAAACGGCACATTTTCTTCTACGTCTCTTTCGGCGAATCTGTGTATAGTATTCTCTATCGAAGAACACGGGGCAAGCTAGTGAAATTCTGAGCACACGGCCGGCGGCCCCTGGCCTACAACAACGGGGCCTCATGCTTCGTACACCTTGCACTCGTCGGTCTCGGGGTTGTCCTTGCAGAAGTCCTCCAGAGGGTCGCCGCTGCCAGCCGCCGCCGCGCCGGGCCACTTGGCCGCCACCAGGTGCGCCAGATCAACCACGCGTTGGCTGCACGCACGCACCCAACAAGCCCGTCGTCAGCAACAATGTGCCATCCACGCATGCATACATATATGTTCAGCTGTGTAGAAAATCGATCCCTTCTTACCTGTACCCCCACTCGTTGTCGTACCAGGCGACGACCTTGACCATGTCGTCGCCCATGACCATGGTGAGCGACGCGTCGATGGTGGAGGACACGTCGGAGCACCTGAAGTCCACGGACACGAGCGGCACGTCGCAGACCGACAGGACGCCATTCAGCGGGCCGTCGGCGGCCTTGCGGAACGCCGCGTTCACGTCGTCCGCCGTGATGCCCGTCTTCACGGTGTTGATCACCAGGTCCACCACGGACACGTTCGGGGTCGGCACCCGGAGCGCGATGCCGTTCAGCTTCCCCTTCAGCTGGGGCAGCACCAGCGCCACGGCCTTGGCGGCGCCCGTGCTCGTCGGCACGATGTTCAGCGCCGCCGCGCGGGCCCTCCGGAGGTCACGATGGGACGCGTCCAGCAGCCTCTGGTCACCGGTGTACGAGTGCGTTGTCGTCATGGTCCCCTTCACGATTCCTGCATCGTATTCATATAGAAAAACAGTCAGCTACCTCTCTCTCTCTCCCTCCTGCACATGTACACCAGAAGACAGTGGTGGCCAGGGAACCAAGCTCTCACCGAACTCCTCGTCCAAGACCTTGACGAATGGCGCGAGGCAGTTGGTCGTGCAGGAAGCGTTGCTGATGATGTCGGCCACGCCGTGGTCGTAGTCACCCTCGTTGACACCGACGACATAGGTCGGGATGTCGGCGCCCTTGGCCGGAGCAGTGATGATGACCTTCTTTGCGCCAGCCTGGATGTGCTTGCCGGCGCCGGGGCCGTCGACGAAGACTCCGGTGCCCTTCACGACACAGTTTTCTTAACACTGTCAGTCTTTCTACGTCGGCGGCGCACATTCTGCACTGGGGAGTGGGGATCCTGTGTTTCTGTACCTCGATGACGATGTCAATGCCGAGCTCAGCCCATGGGAGCTTGAGAGGGTCCCTGCTGGAGACGACAGTGATGGGCTTGCCGTCGACGCTGATGGTCGTGTCGTCGAGGATCTTGACGTCAGCCTTGAAGGTTCCGAGCATGGAGTCGTACTTGAGAAGGTGAGACGCCTGGAATCAAGAAGAAGAAAAAACGCACCAATATAATGCAAGTTTCTGTCAGAATTCGTGGCAAGGGTCTGAAATTCTGAATACGAGTGCGGCGGCTTCAGTTGGCATCGATCTTCACGTACGTTCCTGACGCCTCCGCTGTCGTTCACGACGACGACGTCGAGCGGGGAGTCCTCACGGCCGTGCCAGCACCGGAGGAAGTTCCGGCCAATGCGGCCGAAGCCGTTGATGGCGACCTTCAGCTTCGCCTCAGCGGGCGCCCTCACGGCGTTCTCTCCGGTGGCCTGTCACAGGTTAACCAGCAAGCAGGAATCATTCAGGACCATTTCTATAGCCAGCGTGTACTGTGTACACTGTACAGTCGCATGCTTCTATAAGCTGAATGAAGCCAAATCTTGCACAAATCAAAACTGGGAGGGTGTATCTCTTGACTGTACAATACTGCAGTGAAAATCTAGGAGACGCGTTGGTTGTCCAATTGGTGTTGCATTTTTTTTAATACTAACTGTTGGTTAATTGATGTGCAATTAGCATGACAAGTAGTGTGTCGTCTTTTTTGTGGTCATTATATGGCCTTGAAGGCCACAGTTGGAGACTTGGAGTCATGCTATCACAATAGACTCCTTTCTTGTTTGGATCCATGGCACGGCGTTGTTACGTGAATCTTTAACAAATGAACAGATCAACCTATCATATGCATCCATCCAGCATATCAAGAACTCAAACATGGTGTATTAGTGTATATTAGGAGCTCACGCTAGTTATTTCGACTGTAAGCTGTACATATGAACAAGTGTAGAAGATTATTAGCTATGCGTGCTTTACGCTGCAGCTGCAAAGCACGTATAGCTGCAAAGCAGTGTAGAGTACTACATAAACGCGCTTTGGGTACACAGAAACTGCAGGATGCATGTCTTGTTAGCAGCGTACGTATGCATACCTTGGCGACGAGTTGCGCGCCAAGGACTTCGGAGAAGGACGCCTCCGTCGCGACAGTGCTCACGGAGCAAGATCCCGGCCTGAGCCCGGAGAAGTCGGCGAAGTCCACCCTCTGCACACCAACATTACCCATCATCAGGAAGACAAAAAAAATGTTCATCTCCGGCCGCTTATTACCACGTACGGTCCACGGCATAGCAAGCTAGAACAAGCGCGCGCACGACGTACCTGCCTGGACGCCGCCCTGCTGTGCAGACGGGCGCTGGTGGGGATGCGCGAGGCCGCGAGAGCTGCGTGGGTGGCCATGGCGCGCTGCTGCCGGATGCCGAGGGATGGTAGCCAGACGGAACCGAGCCGGGCGGTGGTGCTCCGTATTTATGTGCTACCTGCCTTCCTGCCGGAGCGTCGTGGCCGCGGAGGAGGCGCCGTGAGCCCGTGATCACTGCTTGCGCTTGTGGCCTCGGGGCGGCGGGGGGATAAGGCGATTGCATGCGCCGCAGCCACCCGTTCGGGCGGGGCGATATCCGATGTGTCGCGGCCTGCCCGGCGGTAGGAGAGCGGGCAAATATGCGTCGCTGTTCCTGGTTGATAGTTTCTTGTCTTTTTTGCCATGTTGATTGATCGGAACGATGTACGCCTCTCTTTTTTGTGTGACCTGTGTGATCTGTAATTCTGGGGCCATCAGTACGCAGATATGTTCGATCGAGTGATCAATATTTGTACATGAGAGGCAGGGACTAGTTTGTGTCATTGCTCACAACCCTCCTGATATTCTTTGAGGGTGAAAATTGTACTTTACCCTTCTTTGGATGATTAGTCATAACCCTCCTTTTCTCCAGTGCAGCTTGAACTCTTGCTCCAATTTCTGTTTTCTCCCATATAATGAAGGAAGTTATTAGCTTTCTCCTTTTTTTATACTTTTATTAGAAACCTCAACCCCCCCACCCCAAAAAAAATACCTAGTTTCTCACCCAAGGCAAGTCATGGTCTCTCAAAGAAGCGACTTGTCGAGGAATGATTCCACATGGCACTTAGCCCTCATTCGCCAACGAAATTAACCAGACAAAATGTTCCATCACATAACTGTGTTCCTAGCATTCTAATATGCTACACGATCAAAGGACTTCGTACTGCGATTTTATGTAATTTTAAGGTTCAAACAAATATACTGCAGTCTATGCCTTACAAAACGACGACTGGACCCAATACCTCAATATCCAAAATGGCATAAAAAAACTCCTCAAAAAGTTTGTCAAATAACCTTCATCTAGACCACTATGATGACATTATATTGTTTGGAAGCTAACTACAAATAGCATATACACGGCAACCTTTGCATACAAGTCCCATTCACCTGCTCCCAAAGCAAATCACTCGAGCGACATTTTGAAGGCTTGGGTAGTGCTGAAGTGCAAATTATTTGCATGGATAATCCTACAATAATCAGCTTACCCAGGGTGGATGGTCATATAGCATGTCATGTAATCCATGTCACCAAGTGATGAAAACATTGCACTACCTACTTGTTGAACGCCAGCACACGAAGAGGATGTGGAGCCTTATTGCGACCTGGCTTGCCTAACTAAAACTCCAGCCATCAAAATGGTAGCCTTACACAGGGGTGCATGAATGGTGGACAAACCTCATCTCCACAAGGTTTGCTCCATGAAAATCCATCAACAGTCTTTGTTCGTTACATGAGAGTTGTAGAAAGAAAGGAATGTGGGAGTGATACAACCTAAAGGGCAATAATGATTGATTTGAAAGCGAAAAACAAGGATGAGACCCGAAAGTGGGTGACAACAGGTGCAAAAAACTTAGCGGCCCTAATAGCGTGATGATAACCCCTTGTGTTGCTTTCCCGACTTTCTGGCTTATAAAATCTCTTCTTTATCAATGAAATAGACATCGTCTCATTGAAAGGATCTAACAATGTCTAGAGGGGGGTGAATAGGCGTATCTAAAATTTTACTGCAGATGCTAAGTTCAAATCTGTCAGTCACTGTCGGAAGTCCCGGCGTTTGGGTCGGAACTCCCGATGTTGTCAGAAGTTCCGGCGCAAACGTCAGCAGTTCCGACGCCTACGCGAACTACAAAAGCAGTACCAAATTCAACTTTGCGGATAAATAATCTTACAACCTCACTTCCTATTGGTTTGGTGAAGATGTTGGGTCACTCCTTGACGTCGTAAAGCCTACAAACCGTAGATCGAGTCCAAACCCTAAAATGGAGATTTGGGAGACAAAGAGACACACACATACAAATAATCTCAAGCAACCACAACAACAACAACAAGCACGCGGGACACAACGATTTATCCTGAGGTTCGGCAACACCACAAAGGAGCTCCTATGTCCTCGTTGTTGAGGTAACCACCAAGGTCGGAGTCTATTGCACCTTCTTGCCTCTCTCAAAGCGACCACAAAGGTCACTTGAGCTTTCCACTAAGAAATAGAAGGGTGATATAAACTTCCCAAGGCTCTTCCACAAGATGGAAGATCTTGGATAACGCCTAGCCGGCTAGGGGCAAAGCCCCAAGAGTAATAGACGCAAAATCAATCGGCTTGACGAAGAAATCAAGTGCTTAAGCTTTCCAAAGTGATGCTCTCACTTAATCCACTCTCCTTTTACTCAAAACCCTAAGGGAATCGAAGATTGGAGCAAAGGGGGAGGAGAGGGGTGCTTTAGTTGCTTGGGAGTTGTTGAGCACAAAGTGGGTCAGCTGTTAATGAGTGCGTAACGGTTAGAAATGAAGAAAGGAGTATTTATACTCCAAGTGAAAATCTAACCGTTCAGATCTACATCGGAAGTTCCAACGCAGATCTCGGGACTTCCGACGTTAACAAAAACACTGTTCACATAGGGCCGGAAGTCTGCGTGTGTAGGTCAGTGTCGGAACTCCCGGCAAACGTCGGGACTTCCGGGACTTCCGACGAACGTTAGGACTTTAGACGAGCGCAGTTAAACATTCAGCCAGCCCGCAACGGGTATCGGGACTCCCGACAAGGGTCGGGACTTCCGACGGTCGGAACTTTCGATGAACGTCGAGACTTCCGGGCATAGATAGGTCAGCAGAACCATCGATGCCGGGACTCCCGGCTTGGGTCGGGACATCCGACTGTCGGGAGTTCGACTCACGTCGGGACTTCCGACGTCCACAGTCACCGCGCAGGCTAAGTAACTAGGAGTCAGCACTTCCGGCAAGAGTCATGACTTCCGACACCGACAGTCACATAAAATTATTCTATGTGCTCGTGAAGTGCTAGAGTGTCTCCTTTTTGATTTAATTATTATGCTTGAGCACTCTATCTTTCTCAGACCAACTAAAATTGCATCCCTCTTTATAGTGCGGCGGATCCTAAACTCAAAAGCAAAAATAAAACCTTTGGAGAGCGCTTTGAGTTCGTCCACCTTTTCAACTTTAAGAATTGAGGGATATCATTTCATCTTTATCAACTCTTTGATTCTTTCAAGGGACTAATAGCTGCGACATATCTTATTAAGATCATATTAGTCTCTAATTTGGATGTCATCAATACACCAAAACCCACATAAAGGGCAAATGCACTTTCAATCCCCCCCTTTTTGGTAATTTATGACAACCAACTTAGGCTTTTATAAGAATGAAAGAATTTAAAGCTTTTGAACCCCAAAATTTATGAAGAGCTCCCCCTTTATATATGCATGAATTTGAATATCAATTAGAATCATTTATACATGATTTGCATGCATCAAGACAAAAGCTTCCCCTAAATTTTGCAATACGTGGGGTGCAACAAGGGTGTGTGAACAAATATATAGCCGTGAAACGAAATGCAATATGACATGTTATTTCACACAACAAGTAAAAGAAAATATGGTAGCCAAGATTTCAAAAAGGAATTTAAAGCAACACATGGCCATTCAAAATGCATTCACCATCATAAGTAGAGACAAGTATAAGCTAATAAGATAAATAGATGACATAACTTGTCCTACAATCATCCATCACAAACACATAAAAATAGTTGTTCATCACAAGGTTGCCACCACATGACATAGTTCGTACATGCTAAAGGTTTTAAAGTTCCAGAACATAAAGACCAACTAACTTATTACAAAGAGAAATCAAAGCCTAACACTCCCCCTTTGTCAACAAGTGCCAAAAGGGGTAGGCCGCGTGAATATCCAACTACTCATCCTCGTAATCATCATCCTCATCTTGGTCACCGTCCTCACCATCATCATCGTCTTCATCATCCTCCTCCTCGATGTATGCCTCATCTTCTTCAGTCGCCTTCCCTTTGCCATGGGGACGAGAAGTCACATCATCTTCGTACGCCGCACAAGCCTCATTATACAAAGCCAACGGATCACGGGAAGGCACAAACGGCGGCGGAGGAGAAGATACGATGCCTGCTTGCTGTTCCAACCGATATAGCCTCCCTTGCATATCGTGCTCACGTTGAGCACTAGCACAACACTGTCCAAACATGTATGTCATTAGGAACTTGAACTTGTTGGGCTTCTTTGTAGAGGAGGACGATGAGAGGGGCTCGGCACTAGAAGAGCGAGCAGTAGCAATTGAAGCACCATGGCGAGAGCAAGAACCCGAGGCACCTTTCCCTCTAGCTTGGGCTGCCTCAGCTTTTTCCTTCAGTTCTCTAGCAGCAATGATGGAGGTCTTGTTGGATATCTTTAGTAGCTTTTGCTGAGTGTCATAGGGAAATTGAATGCCAGATACTTGCTCAATGACATGCATAATGTACGATGCATAGGGAAGATGCTTTACTAGATCCTCAGTAGCATCATATATCTTGTTCCAAATATAGCGGCTGATGAAAAACTTCTGAAACTCATCGTCAAAGCGTTGAAGCACCTTCTGTGAATCATCACGAAGGTAGGTGGAGTCACCGACCTTCGGATACAAGATCTATCGCAAGATGTTGTTCAGAACATAATAGTAGGGCTTCAGAAACACTATCTGTCCATCAGCCCTGTGTCCATCAAGATACATGTGTTGGTACTCCTCCATATCGAGATCCTCATACTCAGTCAACTCAGTAGCAATGCGGTCGCTGTGACTCAAACCAAGAAGGTGAGAGAAAGTGATGAAGTCCACTTTATAATGCTTGCCTTCAGTAGTCCAATGAATAATGTCAACAACACCGGTAGGGTCTCTCTCATGATGATAAGAGGCATAAAACTAACAGATTAGCTCATTGTTCTAATGCTTCCTAAACTCTAACAGGTAAGACAGCCCCATTGAGCTGATATCCTAAACCATCTGCTCCAACTCGGGTTCCTTGTACTTGCCAAGAGAGTAA